TTTATTAAATCAATATTTTTTATGTTAGACAATACTAATGATTTTCATTCATTCATAATTCATTTTGTAATTGATCTCAAGTAAGACTTGAGTTACGAAAACTATAGTTTCAAAATATACATCTAGGTATACTATAATATGTAATTTGAAAAAAAAAACAACAATAAAAGTCCCTTGGTTTAGGAGATATGTATTTTATATTTTCTTTAAAACAATTATAGTGTAAACATATCATGCTGATTCTCTAATTACCGACACTATGGACTGATATTTTCAGTTGTCAATGTCCGTCACACAATCAATCACTGAGTGAAGTACCAACGCAACAATAAAATGGTTTTTGTTCCGCAATGCATCTATTGGGAAAGAGAGAAATCCACTATTTAGTAATAGGGTACGTAAGTAGAAAATTTTATCCATATACATTTAATTGTAAGTATTGAAAAGATTTACTCATTCTTTAATTCTAACAGAAAAGTTTTGACATTTTCTTCTGCATAAAGATTTCATTTTTAAGCAACTTTCCATAACTCCTTGCGTATACATAATATATATATATATATATATATATATATATATATATATATATATATATATATATATGTACAATGTACATACATGTAATAAAATATTTTTAAACATTCAACATATGTGCTTATTCTCAAGCATATAAAAAATTAAAACAATCTATTCCACGGGAACCGTACATTTTTCCGGGATAAAAAGTAGCCTATGTGCTTGCTATTCCAGACTATAATCTACCTCTGTGCTAATTGTTATTTAGATCTGTTCAGGCGTTCTGGCGTGATTGAGTAACAAACATCCAACCAAACTTTCGCATTTATACAGTAGTAAGATTATCTTTCATACTTACTACTCTTACTAAATTAAAATAATAGATAATTGATCTGTAAATATAGATTTAATATATAATTTTAGCTGTGCAATGGAGTGGTAAGTGTACGTACAACTTTCTCTCGTTTCGTTCACCGCTTACAGCTGAGCGAAACGCTACTGTTTACCCGATTGTATAGAGTTACTCTTGTTATTATTTTTATTTATTTAAAGGTTCTTTAAAAATACTGCACATATATAAACATTTTCAATAAACGGGACTCGAACCCACGATACAAAACAGCGATAGGTCTCAAATATACTCAATATTGGGTTCATGATTATGAACAAAAAAGATATAACAACAACATCCTATTTTTAGAAAAGCTATCATGATGTGAATAAATAAAAAAAGCTTATTAATAAAGAGAGTTTCTAAAATCCTTTCACCACCATTTCTCACTATTTAAATACAGATACAAGTAGTTCTCTAAGCTGTTAAAACCCAAAACACAATAAGATATTAATCTTATACGACGCCATTGTAAATGTGTAGGTATCTTATACCTATTTATAAGTACGAATAAATTAGAACTAAAATAACCAGAGCCATTTTGTTTCCAGCCTTAAGTTGTTATATTAGTTTAACTAGCGACTCACTCTCGTTCCTAGGTACGTTTTAACGGTTAGTATAGATTTCTTAGATATAAGATATTTTCCCGCAGTAAAAGTATTCTATATGTTGACCCTGACCCGGATAACGAGCTATTATAATGCTAAATTTCATAAAAATCTATCCAGTGGTATTCTCGTGATGCTTTCCCAGATAGACAGTCAAAAATTCTAAAAACTGTAGATCCAGCCTTTGCATCGATAATGAATATTACAATAAAAAATTTCAAAAGATATCTACAGATTCGACTCAGTTCGAATTTTATTATATGTATAGATAGATATAGATTTCAATCTTGAGAGATACAAAGCCATTGCAAAAAGAGATACCATTTTAAAAAGTACAAAATAAGGCAAATACAAAGTATCAAAATTACATGGACAGGTGATTTACAATATTATATTGTGCATTACATTTCTAGGTCAACAGCTTATCAGAACAGTTATAGTATCTAATACATATTTGTAAATGGAACATTCAAATATTTTTATGATAAGCGACCAAATAAATTAAATCTAGAAATGTATTTTATCAGTGCCAATATAAAACTTCGACGAATTGAAAACTAGACTATTCAAGCAAATCAAATCACAAATATAATAAACAGGAAAGATTTTTTAAAGTTATACTTCTTTTGGGACGTTTGGAATAAGATATGAGAGTAAAATTTTTACGATACTCGCGCACAGAGACAGCAAAAACGCGATATGATGAAGTTAGCTTAAAGCGACATGATGAAGTTAGCGGATAACTTTTTGCTGCCATGGTAACCGTTATTGTCTGACAAACGATATATAATATTATATTCTTCCCTTAAATGATATTCTATAAATATATAATGGTAATATGCCTTATTTAACTATCTAAACTGCCTCGGTGGTGTAGTGGCTAGCATGTACGGCTGCACACCCGGAGGTCCTGGGTTCGAGTCCTGGGTCGGGCCAAGTTTAGTTATTGAGTCTTTCGGTATACTAAGTCTCAGTAACAGCCCGGAGTTGGGAAGTTGGCGGTGTTTCACCCCCGTGCCTCGGAGAGCACGTAAAGCCGTCGGTCCTGCGCCTTAACTCTCACTGGTCGTGTCGAGCAGTCGTCCCACGGGAGTATGAGAGTGACAGGAATAGTGAGTGCACCTGTGTCTGCGCGTACACTTGTGCAATATGATATCTCCTGCGCAGTTGGCTAGTCTCAATGAGATTGGCCGCCGTAGCCGGAATCGGCTAGGAGAACATCATCATCATATTTAACTATTTTATTAATTTATCATTCCTTTTACAAACATAGAGTTGTGACATACGGGATGAAAAGTTTAGCTATCTTTATTCTGTTACGCCAAAGAAGTATAACTTCTTACGTGCGTACATACATACTACTCGTACACATACACGTTTTTTTTTGTACCGAATAGGCTCCGAAACTACTGAACCGAAAATTAGATGAAATTTGGTAAGAAGGTACTTTGAGATTCTGGGAAGGCCATAGAATAGTTTTTGTCTTGGAAATCATCTCTTAAGTGGATGAAAATGAGGATGAAAGTTTGTATGGGATAGCAACCTATGGGACAAACCCGATCCAAGCGAGGGTGATTCTCTAGTTTCAATTATTTTTACAAGTTGCTTTGGCTATCCCTTCTTAAACTTTGCAGATAGATAAATAGGTAGATACATCCTACCTAAAAAAATTTACCAATTTTAAGAGGTCTTAGATTCAGGTGAAAAAAAATTTTAAGTCACCATAACATATTTGTAGACCATTACAATTTCCAGCCCATAAATGAGTTAGTCTATTCAGTCAGTCAGTTCTTACGTGACGTGTGTGTATTTGTCAAAACTTACGTTACGTGTGAACAGTCAAGAGACGAAACTAAAAAAATCACTTAAGTATTATATTATACTAAATACTTTGAAACGTCAATTTATTATACTTCCAAACTAAATGCCAATGTAAGTGTGTAAGTCTGTTGGGAGTTTGAAGCTAGAGGTTCGGAATGCAGCTCTATGGAGATTCGATAAGATATTAATAGATTTCTCTTTTAAAACTTAAATCTCTTATATTTCATTTTTAAATATAATATGATATTAAAATCTAGGTATTCTAATTTTACATAGTTCAATACTTTCTTAGATTTATCCCAATAATTGACATTTTAAATAAAACTTCATTTCGGATTATTTTGGAAAATACAAAATGGCATCAAAGTACCTTAATAATTTATATTTGTCAATTTAAAAATTTATTATGATTTTAATTCGTTTTATAATAGAATATAAGAATATTATTTACAAAGTTTTGTCAATAAAATTACTTTTCAAATAATAAATAACATTCTAATCGTCTTCTAAGGAAAAGGTATAATCATTTCGACCGATTTTATTGTGTACGTTACTTCCTTGCATTATTGTAAGCAGGTTTTAATGATTTTCTTTTTATTGAATAGGGTAAATACTTCAAGGATGGAAATGGAAACGTTCCATTCAAATATGAAGAAAAATGTTCACTTCTAATAAGAAAATTTGTACTGAAGCCAAGTAATTTGTTTTATATTTTATACACTGTAAGTCATATCCAATGAATGAATTTAAATATATTGCGTCCAAATATTATCTGCCATTATTCTTAGTTTATTAGTGACTACAGTGGCACGGATAACGGGACTTAACCGCAAAATATCAAGCGAAAAATAGAAGGGAAATCCCAAAACATAAACGATCGACTTAAAAAATACAATACCTATAGATATTATAAAAAATAATTGTTATAAACTAGTAAATTAGTTATGATGTAACGTTTTACATATGGATTGTTTACCATGTTTATCACTTACTTTTGAGACTTATTACCGATAATTAGTAATATATAATCCCGATAATTCAGCACTATTACAAGCGGCATGGTCACGGGTATACCCGCTAGTAGTAGGTGATAAACATAGTAAATACCCCGTTTTTCATCATAATAATATTGTCAGTGACCATAAAAGTTTAAAGACGTATATAGTAAATTAGTATTTCACGGCCAATTGTAGCCTTATATCCGTCCCATGATGCAATCTGTGCTTCCCAAATTTCATCAAAATTTGTTCAGCCATTTAATTGTATAAAAGGAACAAAATACAAATATTTAATTTTCTTATACCTATACCTAACATTATCGTTTAACTTTATTAATATCAAATCACTGACTTCGGTCATTCATCAAATACTTATTTACCGTTTTGTGTTTGGAAGATAATTAAAATGAAAAGTAAGTTTAAGTCCCTTCAGTCAAATATTTAAAAATACAGTTAAACCTGATTTTATGCTTCTTTCTAAATAAATAGTGATTAGTTTTAGTAACTATCTATGGATTGAAAAGGAAAACACACGCTGGTCCCGAAAAATACAGTTATACCCGATTTTATGCTTCCTTCTAAATAAATAGTGATTAGTTTTAGTAACTATCTATGGGTTGAAAAGGAAAACACACGCTGGTCCCGAAAAATAGTAAAAGTACTTACGATATCATGCCCTTGGCTGCCACTCCGAACCACTTCTGGCGCCATATATTCTATGGTGCCACAAAAGCTGTACGCTCTACTTTCTCCACCACAAAATTCTTTTGAAAGTCCAAAATCTGTAAGGACTATGTGGCCTTCTGCGTCTAGAAGAATATTTTCTAACTTGATGTCGCGGTATATTATACCGAGCTGTGAAGAGAAATATATTGTGAAAAATATGGACTCTGAACATCACTTATAACATTAAACTTGCCTCAAAAATGCAGTAAAAGTATGTGTTTTGTTTTTCCATTAATCTATGTAACACATTTTATTAAATTAATTGTTTTACATTAAGAAATCAGACAGCAAAAAATTTAAAATATGAGTATTGAAAAGTTGGTTATACTAATATAAACAAAATCGCCACATTAATACTGTGGATAGGACCAATGTAAATCAGAAAGTTTGCTTTTATGAGTAGGTACTTTAGAGTATTCCCCCTTTAACTGTCGACGGTCGGTCATAAGCATAAGACGTTACCTTATGTAACTGCTCCAATGCTAATATGATCTCCGCAATGTATATCCTAACTTCGTTTTCATGGAAATGTTCTCGTTGGTACAGGTGTGTGAATAGTTCTCCGCCGGCAACATAATCTAGTGACAAAAAATATCATTAATACAAATATTTTATACATAAAAAATAATGACAATATTTGTGAAAGGCAATTGTATGTAGGAATTTATTTATTTACATGCATATTTTAAATATAAAATAACCCCCGAGCTATAAAGTTTAAGTTTAAGTTTTTTTGTTATAAATTCTGTACTTTTTTTTTTTTTTTTTTAACGTTGGGAAATGCATTTACGCACGACGTGTGGGACTCACCGGCGTAATACAGCCAGTACTACCCACTAAAACCCAACAAAACCTTCCCCCGTCTTAATGGGGCGTCGCAGGATCGCTTACGCATTCAACTACGACGCCCCGACGGCAGGTCCGCCGAAGCAGACCACCACAACCATGGGGTTGCTCCACAGTCCACTCTGCTATCAGAGAAGTACCAGGCGCAACCCGCATGGTTCACCGCCCCCCGAAGAGGGCCACCTCCCACCGCCCACCGAAGTGGGCAACCTCCCTGTGCGTTTCTTGGCTTCGCGCCCGGTTGGATTGCCGGGCACTACTGAGCCCCCCCACCACGACAAGGTGAACGCACGTTGGGGGGGCTTATAAATTCTGTACTAGCCAGATCAATAATTACCTCAAAATAAAAACGTACGTATAACCCAAATATTAATTTGTCTTCATAATTTCGTGTTTAAAATTTAAGCAATTTAAAAAATATTCCAATTATAAGGTAAACAAATTTAATAAATAAATAATTTCTAGTAATATCAAATATATAAGGATATATAAGAATAATATCGAATTTATTATATCTTCATTAGAAAATACTAGTTTACGCCTAAATTACCCGACTCATAATAGTTTTAAAATTTAAGGTCAATTAAAAAAATCTAGTTTAAGTTTAAATCCACGGTATTTTAGATAAATAAAAAGTTATCAAAAATAACGTAGGCTTAAACTTATAAACTAGCAGAAACCGCGGCTTCACCCGCGCTAAAACTACAAAAAAAACTAAAAAAGTAGGTTTCATACAAACTTTCATCCTCTATTTTTCTCACCTAATGGGATGAATTTCGAAAAATGCTTAAACACGTATTTATTTTATTGTATTAAAGAGCATTAATACCAAGTTTCAAGTAATTCTGATCATAAATAATTTTTGAGTTGTATTATAACTTGTCTTTCCGTGGGAATGAATGAGACTATCTCCCGCGGTAAAAATAGCCTATGTCACTCGCCAGCCCTCCAGGCTCCAACTATCTCCACATAAAAAATCACGTCAATCGGTCACTCCATTTCGACGTGAAAGAAAGACAAATAAAAAAACACACTTTCACATTTATAATATTAAGTATGGATATTCACAAGCTTATTTTAAAGTCAATCTAGATCGATAAAAAGCCATTTAGAATCTAGACTTAGGATCTGATAATTATAGTAAAAGGGTTTCGAGACCCCTTCCATAAAATGGAATCCCTCGACGAATTCAAACTAAGACTTTTAAATGATTTGTTTTTAATTGTTCACTCACGCAAATGCTGGAAAGGGACAGAAATAGTAAAGTCAGCAAAATAATAAAATTATCTTCTAATATATTATGTACTTCTTTTTTAATTCGGTAAAAACAAAAATTATTAAATATTTTTATATTTTCCAATGCGCAAAATTGTTTTAGCTATACGACAACATAAATATATATATATATATATATATATATATATATATATATATATATATATATATATATATAATAAAAAGTTTTATTAATTAATAGGGGAGGGATAGTATCATAATGGCGTAAAATGATAAAAAATATAGTATGTTTTATATATTGAGTAATAGATCCCCGCAAAAGCAACAATTAACTTTGTTTTTTTTTTGCAAACCGTACAACACTTGATCGATTTAAAAGGACTTATGCAAGGGAAGCCGTTGAGTACACTCGAAACTTTTCCACTACGAGGGAGTCTCAATACTGTAATACAAAGATACCTGTATCACAAAGCCCTGTCCATCAAATGTGTACAAAGTGAAAAATTAATAATACAATGTGTTAAAATTAAATTAGCTTCAAGTAAAAAAATTATAAAGATATATTTTTTTTATTATAATTTAAATCACTTAATATGTAATTATCAAGATGCTGATTCACCAGTTTTAGGCCACAGTTTTGCTTGAAATTACTATTTAATTCTTAAAAATTAATTCAGTTCAGTTCTTCCGAAGATACGGAAGTACAAATAAACAAATATTTCTAATAGTTTTTCGAGCTGTAGTACAACCAAATAACCACATCAGCTCAATAAAGTGTAGTTTTTTTTAATCAAAGAGAGCCAATTCACTTTTATTCATTTAAAATTACCTACGGATTTTATTTTAAAATATTACAAATTCTAATGTGCATCGCACTTATACCACATGTAACTTCAATGTCGCGGGTTCGTAACCTGTTTAGGGTAAATATTTTTATTAATCATAATCTAGTGTCTCGCTCGTGTCACGCTGTTTGTGGTCGCACTCCTCCGAAACGCTCGACCGATTTCAATGATTTTTTTTTGTATATTTGGTACATTTGAGAATAGGTCGTGAAGTATTTTTTACTCTCCTAACATCGACCCCCATTTTTTTTAAGTAACTAGGGGCGAACCCGAGCGGAGACGAGGGTGAGTAGCCAGTATATTATAAGTTTATGACAAAGCTTGGCGTTAAACATCGACACATGGCAAGCGTTTACTCGATATATATATATATAAATTAAAAACAAATGGAGGGGAAGTAATACCTATGTAGGATCACTTCTGACATTAGGCGACGTAATCTGTGCTCAACTGCAACGCTTTGAAGCCATTAACAAGAAAATTGAATTGAATTGAAAAGTACTTGTAAGAAAACTTGTGAAATAAACACATATATACATCATATAACTTTACTATTACGTTCTCGACCGCGACTCCTCTTGTACAAATGTACGCACGTATATATATATATATATATATATATATATATATATATATATATGTACATTATACAAATAATTCGTCCCTTCTTATATAACTTGAATACGTTATTGTATGAGAAATAAGCAAGGAGCTGAGAGGAGCAATACTCGTAGTATAGCTATTAGCATTGTGATGTGAAACTATTACTATAATAAAATAAATCATATTAATTTATGCGATGTAGAACAATTAACCTTATGGTATTTCCGTTCTCATTGGTACATTATTTTTCTAATAATTCCATTCAAGAAGTTTTTCTAAATATAACGTTAGTTAAATTAGTTATTATATAAAATTTATGTTTTAACTAAAAAGAGTATATAATTTCAATATCATTTTAAATGTCAACTCATAATGTGATTCCCCCTACGGTGCTTAATCATAGAACAGAAAGTACTCTTAATTTTGAAGTCAGTAAAAGAGAGTTGGACAAGCATCTAAACTCTAAAGGATTAATAATTATAATAAATAAATATGTTGGGACATTAAAACACAGCACCATCTAGTTCCAAGCTACGAGGCTTGTGTTATGGATAGCAGATAGTTGATACACTACACATATATAACTTTAAATACATACATATTATAAGTATAAACACCCATGACTACAGTACAAACATTGGTGCTCATCACACTAATGAATGCCCCTAGTGGGACTCGCACCCGCGACCGCTCGCACAGCAAGTACCTACTACAAACTGAGCCTAACGTGTCGTCCAATGAATTAACTATCTTACATGTGAATAGAGCCTAAGGATGATAAAAATATATAATAAAAGTGTTATATAATTAAACAATAATAAATTGAATTTACTAAAATCAAAATAAACAACTACATATTGAGGCTGGTTTCTATGCTTGAAATGCGAGTAAAGTCAAAGAATCTACTAGTATACGCCGGGAATTATTTTGTTAAGCTAGTTTTGTACATAATTTAGATTTTAATCAAATCATGAATTAGCCGCAAGATGCTAAGCTAGTCTTTGACCCAGATACGGCGGCGGAGTAATAAAAAGTCAAAAACGAGGTATGAATTTTAAAAACAACTTTGCTGCTACTATAATTTACTTACTAGAGTTTTGCGTTCATAGTAAAGTGCAAATCTTACGAGCTCTGAATGCTTTAGCATCTTTTGAAATGAGCGAAAATCAAGCTAGCTTTTAAAAACCGGAAAATTCCTTGAGATACATAAAATAAAAATTACAAAACATGATATTTAACTCCAGTTACAATTATGTACATTGTTAAAAAACTTACTTAATACATCTACACATATAATAAAATTGTAACTAAGCCGAATCTATACATTAATTTTTTTTTGGGAAATCTTATTGAAATAAACATTATTATCGATACAGAGGCCAAACCTACAGTTTTTAGAATTTTTGTCTGTCTGTTACCGCATCACAGAAAAACCACTGGAGGGATTTTGATGAAATTTGGTATGGTGATAGCTGGTTATCTGGGTCAACATATAGGATACTTTTTACCGCGAGAAAATGTCTCATTTCTGAGAAAAATTACAAAAACTTTAATGTAAGAGTATACTAATATGTAAAACCTAAGAATTTTGTTTTTGTCATCTGAACGCGGGCGGAGCCGCGGGCAATGCTAGTATAACATAAATAAATTAAAAATTACAGTTAATTCACTTGATTAAAAACTTTTATCTGATAAATTAATAAAAATAGGCTTAAAGTTAAATTTCCTAACAATAATTTTATATATTTTAGATAATCTCTTCTTTTGTTATCATCTCACTTAGATATCTATGTTTTTTTAAGTATATTCTAAGCCATCACCATCTTCATTATTCTAGATTGATTAGATGAAAAATGTCGAATCCGACAACTTAGTGCGTAAAAGCTGACTTAGCAACGAAATATTTCATAGCTGGTCTAGAAATTACAATATAAATGATATTCAAAGGTCCATATTTCTCAGACGCAGACGGTGGGGTGAGGTTCGTCCCTGACCTACGTATAAATAATGTATACCGTATTCATTGGATAATGGCTAAACAAAGATTT